AAAAAGTAGGCAACAATTGGAAAAATTAGCAGTGTTCAACTAAATCTCCGAGTTTTCAAAAAATCATTAAAAATCAACTAGATCTAATTAAGCTAGACAGGTGTCTAGCTCATTCTAAGCTCTATCTGAAAAAAGTAGTAGTAACTGTATGGCATGAGAGGGTACTAAAGGCTATTACGAAAAAGTAGGCAACTATTCTACAAATTATCGTCGCTCAACAAAACATCGGACTTTTCAAAAATTCATTAAAAATCGACGAAAAAAAGCCACTGGATAGCTCTCATTACAAGCTCCATGTGATAAAAGTAGTACAGGTAGCAACTGCATGTAGTTTGAGTACTTAATGAGAGTTACACAAATATAAGTTAAAGAAATAATAATTCTAAAAAATAAATGGCGTTCAACTAAACATCAGCTGAATTGGCGAAGATGCAAAAACAAAATCAACCAAAAAAATCAGACAGGGATGAGTATCATTGGAAAGCTCATTACAAGTTCTTTGTAACAAGAAATGAATTACAGTACATACATGTAACTGTAAAGTACTTTTGATGTTAAGGACACTAAGTCACTAAGTAAGGAGATTGCGACTGATGATACAGTCCACATTAGAATTAGAGCAGGCAGCTGATATCAATATTTATAAATTCGTGTCCACTGACCAATTTGAGTGAGACTGAGTTAGTTATCTGCCCCAATAATACAACTTGATGTTTTATTTGACCATCTTTTGAACTAAATTAACGAAAGATGCAATTGAGAGATAGTCTCAGTATTTCCAGTTGTTACCGTTGGAAGACAATCTTTTTTTTTTAAACGTTCAAGGTATACCAGAAGCCAGAAGTGCTGCATGCAAATCCCGTTAAGTTAGATTCTTTAAAAAATGATTTGCAATGGTTTTATTCTGCACCCAATAATATGACAGCCGGACCCTCAAAAGCAAGCAATGTAATATATAGATCTAAGAGCCAGAGTGAAAATAAATATCTCGAGGTCTAGATCTAAGGTCCGTACTAAATTCATTTTAACATAATTTTTATGTTGGGCGGGACAAAGTAGAACTGTCATTATTCATGATTATTGTAACAGATCCCCTTGACGCTCAGTGCAACAGAGGGTTGTTGTTGTTAGCGATCCAGTAGCATCTGAGCGTTAACTCTTCTGCATGATGCCATTCTGTAATAGCTGCATGTCTATTCTAATTGTTGTCTTGAGGAGTAGAGGCAGTTAAATGTGTGGGGTAGTTTGGGTAGAAAACATCTTCTTAAATCAGTTAGTTGTCTACAGAAGAACACATGCTGTTCTACTGTCTCTGAGGGGTAGTCACATAGTCTAGTGGGCAGGCAGCAGACTGCTTTACTCCAATTCGGTTGAGATGTTGATTGAAGGGTACATGTTGAGTTCTAAGTTGGAAGATTATGGATTGATCTCCCCTCTTCGACTCATTGATTGGATCTTTGACTAGTGGTTTATTCACGTGGCCATACATCACCCTTCCTGTCGTACCTGTGGCCCAATAGTTCGTCCAGTCTTCCTTGAGGTTTGGCTTGATTCGATGTATCGATACCCCGATACCTTCTTGGTACCGGAATCGAATCGATACTTTTGAAAAGGATATGGGGACTAACAAAGATAGTAAATAACAAGATGGGCCACTCAGCCAAAAAAGTGTCCGCAGGAAGTATGCTCTTTGCTTCAGATGGCGCTGCAGTCTGTTTTGAAGCTCTCTTTCGTTTTTCCAGAAGAAGAATAAACCTCCTTGCGTGCGCAGATCGACTGCTGTTCATCAGCAGTTCGGGTACGTTCAGTGCGTAGTTTTAGGTTTTTTTTTTTATTTTAATGACCTCTCGCCTTTCATTCTAAAGTCGAATTAAACGAAGAAAACCATCACCCTTTCCCCCGGAAGCGTTCTTCCGAAATTTATCCAAAAACATGCTAGTTTCACTTTGATTTTTTAAAACTCAAGGAGGGTAACTCTGTTCGCAAAGAGTGCGCTTTTGTGAATAGGGCGCCACCAAATTTCGAGGACACTTTTTTAATTGGCTCAAAGAGAGAAGTGG